CGAGTCATTTAGGTTGAGTCGGGACGGGTCATGTCAATTGGTATCGGTCTTAGAGTTTATGAGTAACATTGCATGTATCTGATATTTGTATGTCACACATTATTGTAGGTAAGTCATGCTCGGTAGAGGTAGAACTCCCAGGCACCAAAATCCATTATCTCAAGCTCATAATACTCCTGAAGAAAGACATGTTGGAGGGGCCAGTGGGGCTGCTGAATCAGTGAACCAGTCTCAGGTGCAACCTGACCCCATCACCAATAGAACAGCTGTAGCTATTGCTTCCCTTCTACCAAATACTGATAGAGATAACTCTATAGAGAAAGCGATGAAACTTGGAGCAAAATTTTTTTTGGGTACATCTAATCCAGCCGATGCTGAACTTTGGATGAAGACTTTGGAAAGCATATTTGATGTGATAAAATGCTCAGAAGATAAAAAAATTACGCATTGCTGTATTTTTATTGAAGGGGGAGCTGCTGATTGGTGGATTTCGTTTCGAAGTCGGTATCCAGATCCTAGTATTATCACCTGGACCATTTTCAAGGAAGCTTTCTTTGAGACATATTATCCACCATTTTATCGTGATGCAAAATAAAATGAATTTTTAAGATTGGTGAAGGGGTCTATGTCTGTTGCTAAATATCATGTAAAGTTTGTCGAACTGTCTAAGTATGCAAGTGCTTTGGTAGCTGAAGAGAGAGATAGGTGTAGACAGTTCGAGCAAGGGATGAGAGCAGAGATTTGACCTATGGTTACTGCTCATGGGCATCGAAATTTTGGTTTGTTGGTTGAGGCGGCATTGAGGGTTGAGACAGCTATTCATGAAGGAAGTAATCAAGGAGTACAGGTGACCTTTCAAGGTGATAGTAGTCAATCAGGAGCTTCAGGAGAAAGGTTTAAGAGTAACAGAAAAGGATTTTAGCCAGGTGTCACTAAATCTAGCTATTGTAAATCTAAGTCTAGGAGTTCTAGCTCTAGTCAGGGATCAAGACATAGTCAGAGTTTTGGACAGCAGTCAGTGGGAAGCCATTCTTATGTACAGGGTCCTTCACAGAGAATTCAAGGAGTGAGGCAGAGTGAGGCTTCTGATTATCGGAGCTTTCCACAGTGCCAGTCTTGTGAGAAGTTTCATCCAGGCGAGTGTCTTCGAGGGGTTGGAGTTTGTTATCAGTGTGGTCAGATGGGAGACATAAGGAAAGATTGTCCAGCTAGATCTCAGCAGATTGTAGCATCTCAGATAGTATCTCCTCAGCCAGGGATCGGTATGACTAGACAGAACAGGGATCAAAGAGCTCCATCAACAGGGTCGATGGGGGCCACACAATCTAATGCTGCTAACGGTGGTGCTTCTAGACAGAGAGCCTAGGCAGGTCGATCCAAGACTCAGGGCAAGGTGTTTGCTATGACACAATAGGAGGTAGAGGAGTCACCAGATGTGGTAGTGGGTATGTTATCTATTTTTGGTAGAAATATTCGCTCTTTAATTGATTCGGGTGCTGCGCTTTCCTTTATTTCTCACACACTTGCTAGCTATGCAAATCAAATGTCAGAGCCTTTAGATAATGAATTGGTAGTAATGACTTTAGTGGGGGACTCACTTTTAGCAAATCGTGTATATAAAGATTGTGGGATTAGAGTGAACAATCATGAGTTGAAAGCAGATTTAATTCCTCTTGACATTCATGAGTTTAATGTTATTTTGGGGATGGATTTTCTATCTAATCACCGTGCTTCAGTTGATTGTTTTCACAAGGAAGTGGTATTTAGAAGCCCAAGAGAGCTTAAAATTGTTCTCACTGGAGAGCGCAGAATTTTGCCATCTTGTGTAATATCTGTCCTGAATGCTCGCAGAATGCTCAAAAAGGGTTGTGAAGCATATTTAGCTCATATGATTGACACTCAGATCACTAAATTGAAACTTGAAGATATACCAGTGGTAAAAGATTTTCCTGATATTTTTCCTGAAGACCTTTCGGGATTACCCCCAAATAGGGAGATAGAATTCTGTATTGATTTGATTCCCGGGACAGCACCTATTTCACAGGCACCTTATCGAATGACTCCGAAAGAGTTGAAGGAATTAAAGGTACAATTACAAGAATTGATAGATAAGGGTTTCATTAGACCCAGTGCATCCCCATGGGGAGTTCCTGTATTATTTGAAAAGAAGAAAGATGGCACTATGAGATTATGTATTGACTATAGACAGCTGAATAAGATGACTATTCGCAATAAGTATCCTCTGCCCTGCTTGATGATTTGTTTGATCAACTTCGAGGTGCCTCGGTATTTTCAAAGATTGATTTACGTTCGGGTTATCATCAGCTTAGAATTAGAAATGTTGATGTACCAAAGA